TCTCAAGTCTGTCCTCTGTTCCTTCCATTTTCTCCACTAAATCATCCACCCTTCCCTCTATACGATCAATATGAATTGCTAGTCCTTCAAAAATATGTGATATATTTTCACAAAGTTCCTGATTTTTCTTATCCAAAAGTTCTTCTGTTTGTTTCACAGTTTGTAATGAGGACTTAGCTAAAGCCTCTTGCAAATCTTTAAGTGTAATGGAGGGAGGTGGTGATGGTGGGGGAGATCTAGGTTTTTGTTGTTGAATTTGCACAACAGGAGAGGAAATAGCTGTTTTAGGCAATGCAGAAACTCCAGTACGTTTTGTAGCCATTCTGCCAAATTATTTTTAAAACTCTCAAAAGCAAAAATTAACTTAAAAAAGCTTGACTTAAGAAAAGTTCTTTAAAATCCTTTAAAATGCATCATTCCACCACCGGAAAGAAAGTGAAAGTTTTCCTTTTGTTACAAAGAAACAGCGCTTCCGCGGCCATTTTCTTCTCACTTTCACTTATAACAAATAGCGAAAATCCCAATAAGATCTTTGAGTTAAAGTCACCATTTAACTAAAGCAGGAAAAAAAAATCCCCTGTCAGGTTCCGTCTGTTCAAAAGTTACTCACAAGCAGATACAAAGTAGCAGCAGTGGCAGCGACATCTAGCCTCGCTCCGAAGAGCAAAGACACTCCGAGCTGCGGAGAAGAGGTCCAGACTCCGGGGGAGTTCATACCTACATCCCCCCAGGATCATTCCTGGGGGGACAAGAGAACTCTACCCCTATCTGAACCAAACTCACTCTCTTCCCTTCGCCCAGGAAGAGAGTTCCAAGCCGCAAAACAGCTGATCCGCGCTGTTTTGACAGCTCTGACGCAGTCCCGGGCAGGAGGCTGAGAAGAAAGCCTCCATCGGCGAAGCCTCGCCACCGGAAGTTCGGCTTCCAGACGTCTTAGTATCAGACAATGGGGCTCAGTTTACTGCTTCAGAATTCCAGTACTTCCTCAGGACAAACCTCATAAGGCACGCCACGTCGGCTCCCTTTCACCCGGCCTCGAACGGCCAAGCAGAACACATGGTCCACACAACCAAGGAGTCCCTAAAATGGATTGTCACAGGAAACTGGCACCACAGATTGGCAGACTTTCTACTCTGCCAGCGTACAACTCCCTGCACAGTCACAGATAGAAGCCTAGCCGAGCTACGTTGGGGCTGACGCTTGACCACTAAGCTGGACAGGCTCCACCCCAACCGAGTTGCATCGGACTCTGCACAGCCAAAGGCGCCCAGAAGTCTGCAAGTGGGTGACAGGATTTGGACCCGGAATTACGGGCAAGGGGCTTTGTGGGTGGCAGCAGTGGTTGTAAAGTTGTCAGGGCCACTTTCCTACGAGGTGATCCTCGAAGATGGGCGAGTCATTCGCCGGCACATTGATCAGCTGCGTCGGCAGCTGGCGGATCAGTCACCGGCTCAGGACTCCCAAGAGGGCCACACACAGGGCCACTGAACCTCTGAGTCCTGGTCTACCCAGCCTGGCAGGCAAGCAGGTAGACCAGGGAACCCTGGCAACCCTTAGGCGTTCTGAACGGTCAAGAAGGCCACCTAAGTATCTGCAAGATTATGTCAAACAATTAAGGGTTTGAACTATCTAGGGGGAAGGGGTGTAATGTATTGGTCACAGCTGTTTTGAATCACTTGCTTAATGTCTAATCACTTGTTTGAATGTCTGACCTAGATTCTGTTGTTATGTAATGGCTGCTGTTACTTAAGCCAGACTTGCTATCTCCAGGCTGGTAATTAGGTTTTGGGCAGGAAACTGTTACTTTATTAAACCTATTGGCTGCCGCCTGGAGGCTAACCATATAAATAGCTGCACAGCAGCTATTTGAGTTGCTTCTGTTCAGAGTTAAATAAACTTGTTGCTGTTTCAACACTCGTCTCGCTTAATGCCTTCAAGAACCAAATACTTAACACCTGTCTTGTGCCTTTTTTAATGTCAACGTTTTCTGTAAAATCTCCATTTACAATTACTTTGGCTGTTTGTTTATAATAAATTGTTTTGATTACATTTATAAAGTTTTCTCCAAAATCCATTTCCTCTAGTTGCTGGAACATAAATTGCCAGTTTACGTTGTCGAACGCTTTCTGTGCATCTAGAAATATTAATGCCATCTGTTTCCCTGGATGAATTTCATAGTACTCTAAAACATCTAGGATCATTCTTACATTATTTTTTATCTGTCTTTTAGGTAAAAAGCCATTTTGGTCTGTATGTATAAATTCGGTCAGAAATTTCTTTAGTCTTTCTGCTATTATTGAGGCGAAAATTTTGTAATGTACATTTAATAGTAATATTGGTCTGTAATTTTTTATTTGTGTCAAATCAGCATCTAAATCATTTCATAATAGCCTCCCTTTTAACAAAACCCAAATCCAAGACAGTCCGAATCGCTATAAAACCTTTACCATCCATAATTATCATCTCAAATTTAATATTTATATCTTATTCTGGGTTTCTTTTTATTCCAAATAGGTTTCCATAGTCAAGTCTCCCATTGTCTCCTGCCACACTGTACATAGCAACAAGAGGTCTCCCATTATCCATTTTATTAGGCTGATATAAGAGTTATAGTCATTCTGAAAAGCTCGTGCCAAAACGTCATTTCCCATCTTTTTTAAAGTTGCATAAACTTTAGTTGAAATCATTTTTTTAATATAGTCCTCTTTAGTCAAAATTTGCTCTTCTTCCTGTAGCGGGGACTGCCCGAGAGTGCTTGCAGGAGCTTGACTGGGAAGGGGAGGATTGGGACAGCTGCAGTTGGCTTGGGTGTGGCTGGCGTGAGTGGAAGGAGGAAGGATAGAAAAGGGAAGAAAAGGAGAAGGCCGGGGTTGGTTGGAGTTGAGAAGGGAAGGTCTGGAAGCTTACTTTATTTTTCTATCAAGGGTATTTTAAATAGGGGCTAGATAGAGTGAAGTTTTATTGCTTCCTCCGTGGGAGGA